AGACATTGACGGGGGATCCGACTTTGCAACAGGGGTGTAGGAAGGCCCTCTTAGTCATGCTAGGACACTTCGTGTAGTGGTAGCTAGGGGTCAGGAGGACTTGTGAGAGAGGGGGGTGAGTCGTTATCCATCTTTGGAGGCCGGGCCTCACAGGTAAGTGCCGTGTGACCTGGTTATGCCCGTGGGAGGTTGCTTGGTGCTTCATGGCCTGTTGGGGTGTGCTGGGCTCTCTTCCTCTTCTCTGCGGTCTTGGCTGTGTGTGTGAGCATGTGGATTCCTTTCTCACCTAATGGATGGATGGATGATGTATCTGTTCTAAATGACATATCTTTCTACGGTGCAATGTCTGTTCAGTTCTGAATGGTTGTAGGGGTAAGTTCTTGCTGAAAGTTGTCTTTTCCTTTTCAGTACGGTAGAGGCAGTTTGGGACTGACTTGGTACTCCTATCTCGTTGGTCCTGGTCCACGACCTACTTGGGACCTCCGGGACTCAGTGGGACTAGGCCCAACGGGACAGGACCTTTCGGGCCCAAATCTGTTGCTGCCTGTGCATCTCTTTGCTGCGTTGAACTTGGGGGGCATACGACTAGCAAGGGCATTCCTTTCAAGGGGATCTTGACTGGTCTTACTGCATGTTAGCACATACTACCCAGCGTCTGGCTCGGCGACCGTCTGCACCCCTCGAAATCTCCATTGTTGCAGTTAGTTTTCTTCGGCTGATTTATTGCGGTACATGTACCTTGTCAGGTTAGACAAGAGGTGATCTCCAGCTAATCTGATCGGGCCCGTTCGATAAGTCAGTCCTCTCTTCTGTTTTATTTTTATTTATTTATTTAGTCTTTTATTCTGCTGCGTGTCATTCTCTAAGTCCAAATGAATCGTCGCTCCGGCTAGGAGTTCTACCTTCTACTCTGTGTGATTCACTGATTGTTTCTTTCATCTGAACTATCTATGTCCGGTATTGAGACGCGTGCGCAAACAGCGAAGAGAGAGAGAAGGGAGAGAGAAGGTGTTCTTTTTGAGACTGTGAGGAAGGGCAAGAGGAGTGTTCGTCCAAACGTGAGGAGAGAGCGGACCCCTCTTGAGAGAACTGCTAACACCCCTTCCTCCAGCATGGCAGACATCACATCTGCCCAATGGCAGGCCATGCTGGACGCAGCAAACGAGAACGAGAAACCGTTCTTCCAAAAGCTTTATGATGATGCCGTGCAGAGGGAAAGGGAGGCAGAGGCAGCAGCCAGAGCCACAAGCATAGCTGCTCTGGTGGCCCTCCTTCAGGTCCCGGAAGACGATGCTGACCGGTTCCAGGAGAGGCTAGCTGCTGCCGTAGCAGCCTTGGTTCGACTGCGGAACTTAGAAGACCTTGAGTCCCGTGTAACAGCACTGGAGCAGTGGAACCAAGAGCTGCAGGCTGAGATAATCAGCCTCAAACAGTCTCAACTGTCTCCCCCCCGCCCTCCTAACCCTCGACCTGGTGCAGTCCCAGTCTCTCAATCTAACACAGTCCTCATGGCAAGAGCAAGTGGAACTGTGGCAAGCGCAGGAACCAGTGCCAGCTCCTCAAGCGGCAGCGCCGACAGTTCTGCACTAGTCATAGTTCCAAATGCAGGGACATCAGCCCAAAACGCCACAGTCCTTACTGGCGTACAGTACAACGGTCCCGTAGTGGACAAGCGGGCGGCCACCTTGCCATCCAAGTACGACGGGAAAGCGGATATCACCTCTTGGATTAGTTCCATGCGCTCATACTTCGAGGTCATGCGGACACCGCAAGAAGACCGAAGCATGATCATGGGCACTAATACTGAGCCCGCCGTACGGAACCACATTGAACTCCAAGCTGTTGCTGCAGGTTATGAAAGAATTGACGTGACTGAGTGGCTGAAAGTAACCCCTGTACGCACCCTTGAGGACCTTCTCATCACACGATACCAAGATAAGCACGCTGCGCTCATGGCTAGGCTGAAGCTTGAGGCCCTCAAGGGCCAAACTTGGAGGTCCTCCATGCAGGCTTTGGAACATCACTTGACTGGTCTGTTCACCACTCCAGACCTGGGAATGACCGACGTGTCTTGTATGGATGTAGTCATGGGAGTGGCCCCTAAAGAATACCTCTCCCTGCTAAGACTCAAAGACCATACTACTTGGCGAGAGCTCATGACGGATCTAGTCAACCTAGAGGCCAAGGACCTTGCCAGGCGTAAGAAGGCGCCCGCTGCAGGTGGAAAACCACAACACAAGCGGTATGGAAGCAGCAACCAGCTTGCCCTGCATGAACATCGGGAGGTTGAAGATCAGTCCTACTGGATGATCTGTTTCTAGATGACGATCTAGAGCCGGACTCCAATATGGGTTGTTCCACATCAGCCATTGAGTCTGACGCAAACGAAGATGAAAAACTTAATGCTTTTAAAAAGACTGCTTCAAACAAGGGGCCTAACCGTGGTTCAGGTAGGGGAACTGTTGTACATCTCCCCAAGAATGCGAAGATCCCTGAGAAACCGGAGGGCGCATCTACCAAGCCTTGGAAAACCTTCCGTATCAGTTAAAAGTAATGGGAAAGAAGATCTAAACTACGCATATGCTTGCATTGTCAAAAGTCCGGGCATGCTGTGCAGAACTGTTACCGACTTCAGGGAAACAGGCAAAGGGCGTAGAAGAGTCATCAACACTCTCTACAACAAGGGAAGCTGAACCATCAGTTGCAGGCCCCTCCAATGAGCCTGAATCTGATCAACAACCTACTCTTGAAGCCCGAAACAACGCTGAATCCAAGGCTGCTGCAATCCATGTGTTATACACTGAGCCTTGGGAGGAGTCTAAGGAAGTTGACTTCCATGCTCACTTGGAACATTGGCTGCAGCTCAAGCAGCAACGTCGTGTACAAGGGAGTGTGGAGCTAACCTTCTTTAAACTGCTCATTAACCGCCGATACATTCGCGTGTTGATTGATAGTGGTTCAACCACTAACTTCTTTTCTCCTAACGGGATTCATAAGGTGGGCCTGGGAATGAAGCAAGTGGAATTGCAGAACCCTTGTCAGACCCAGGTGGGCAACCAAGAGATTGTCACCTCCACACATGCTGTCAAAGGTGTGCGCGTCACCTTTGACAAGGACCGCACTGTCACACATGAGCTCAACTTTTATGTCATGGACAAGTGTCCGTTCGACGCGGTCATCGGCTTGGGCTGGTTAAAGGCTCATTGCTTAAGGACCACGTGGGCGGACAATCAGTTCGTGGTGCGTGATGCCAAGGGGAACGAGTGTATCGTCTTATTGGATGAGACTCGCGAGTCCCCTGTGACTCTTCTAAGTGCAAACACATTCTGCAAATGAGTGCGCAGGCGCAAGGAAGCTGAGCATGTACATATAGCTCTTGTAAAGCCTCTCCATGTGCCTTCTACTTTTGCTGCATTTTCTACCTCGGTAAGTAATTCTACTTCTACCACCTCTACTTCTATTCCATCTACTTCTACTGTGGATAATCCTTCTACTTCTGATCCAAGTACGTCAAATCCAGTTGTAATTGCTGTAAATTCTCGTTTTGATTTTCTTTCTCGTGATGAGGATGATCCTCCACCAGAAGTCCCAACAAACATTCGTCGTCTATTAGATCGATTCCCTGAAGTTCTGGCCGAACCTCGTGGAGTTCCCGAGCGTCCGGTCAAACACAAGATCGAGATAATAGAAGGGAGTGTTCCTCCAAAGGGCTGCGTCTACCGTATGGAACAAGGCGAGTTGGAGGAGTTGAGGATGCAGATTGATGACATGATCGACCGTGGATGGATTAGGCCTAGTGAGTGCGAGTTCGGTGCACCTGTCCTGTTTGTGCCAAAGAAAGGAGGCAAACTCCGGATATGCATTGGCTATCGTGGCCTAAACCGTATCACCCGAAAGAACCCGTATCCCTTGCCTCGTATAAATGATTTGCTAGATGTTGCAGGTGGGTGCAAGGTCTTCTCCAAGATCGACCTCAAGTCTGGCTACCACCAGATTGAAGTTGATCCGAGTGACCAGCACAAAACTGCATTCAAAACACGCGATGGGCTGTACGAATTTATCGTTATGCCCTTCGGTATTACGAATGCGCCAGCCACATTTCAGTGCCTCATGGACAAGGTACTACGCCATCAGCTCAACAGGTTTGTGGTTGTGTACCTTTACGATATCCTGATTTTCAGCAAGTCCATGAAAGAGCACGCCAAGCACCTTGAGGAGGTCTTGCAAGTCCTCAAGGAGGCACAACTGCACCTCAACTTAGAGAAATCTGAGTTTGGAAGGGACAGCGTCATCTATCTTGGGCATCAGTTGTCTGCAAACGGCCTTGAGCCGGAGGCAACCAAGGTTGAGGTCAAACGAAATTGGCCTCAACCAGCGAACGTACGCGAACTGCGTTCTTTTCTTGGTTTGGCCTCATATTACCGGAAGTTTGTGCCTAAATTTTCTGTCATTGCTCACCCACTCTCGAGACTAACAAGTAAGAATGTTGCTTATGCGTGGTGTGAGAAATGTGAGACTGCGTTCTAAGCCTTGAAAGAGGCATTGGTGAGTCATCCTGTACTCCGCATTGCGGATCCCAACCTCACATTCGTAGTCACTACGGATGCGAGCCAGTTTGGGATTGGTGCAGTGCTGCAACAAGACGATGGTGATGGCCTGCGTCCGCTCGAATACTACAGCAAACGCATGCCCAGCCACAAGGTAAATACCTTCTACGCCCTGCGCGAGGCGCTCGAACCTATTTATGAACCCCGCTTTTCCACTTATTCACATGGCTTCAGACCGGGACGTAGTGCTCACACGGCCCTTAACGAACAAAAAAGTACCTAAAAGACTGAATAAAAAAGTAACAATGTTTAGAAAGAAGGTCCAAGAATTCAACCAAAATGAAATGACTGAATGAATACAAGCTGTAGCTAATACCCAAGGCATCAAAGATGCATTTTCTACGGGATCCCAAAACCACCAACCGCCCCAACCTAGCTCATGATAAGCCCACCAACTTCCCAGTAGTATTCCTACAGTTAAAAAACACCAGCACCTTTCCCTCACGGTACTTGTACACTATCGGTCACTGAGAAATACTTAGGCTTAGAGGGTGGTCCCCCACAGAATTCAAACACGGCGCGCGTTTTACTTTCGTCTCTGTTCGACTTGTAGGTCTCACAGTCAGGCAGGCTTTCACCATTACGCTCTACAGTTGCACAAAGCGCTAGCTTGAGCCTACCTTCGCGCGCCTGCGTTACTCTTTAGGCAATTGTGTTACTCCCATTCATTTACAGGCCTCGCTAGAGGCATACATTGGAAGCATTACCTCTTGGGTCGTCACTTCAAGGTCTACTCAGATCATCAGACCTTGCAGTGGATTAAGACACAAACTGATCTCTCTCCGACGCTGACCCGCTGGTTGCATGACATTGATGTGTACGATTTTGAGTTGAAACATAAGAAAGGCTGTTATAATCGTGTTGTTGATGCTTTGTCGCGTCACCCTCAGTTTTTGACTTGCCTTGTGGGTTCGTATGACCTCCGAAGGAAACTGAAGGAGGATCTGGTCGAACACACCGCCAAGGATCCAGACCTTAGTCCCATCCTTGAGCAGCTCAAGGCTGACCCTAACAGTCAGCCTGATTTTCACGAGTGCGAGGGTCTTGTATTCCGCCGGTATGGGAAATTTTATCGTCTGTGTGTACCCAACCATGCGCCTCTCCGAACTCATTTCTTGGATTTGGCACATGGTCGGAGTGGACATTTCGACTTTGAGAAGACTTATGGAAGTCTTCTGCAACAGTTTGATTGGCCAGGGATGAAAGGATGTGCTCAGAAATTTATTACTGAATGTCAAGTATGTCAAAGAATCAAGGTCCACAGGCATAAGCCTTATGGCCTGCTAAGACCCCTCCCCATTCTTGATGGACCCGGTGAGTCGATTTCCATCGACTTCACGGATATGGGAAAGGTGAGTGAAGAAAGGAATCCACAAGTCATGGTCATCGTGGACCGTTTCTCCAAATTTCTGAACTTGATGCCTTTCCCTCCCCATGCCCCAACTGAGCTTGTCATCGAAGAGTTCCATCAACAGTATATTCTGCAGTATGGCCAACCGAGAACCATTGTGAGTGATCGGGACACCCGATTCATTAGTAAAGATTGGAAAGACTTCACTTCTCAGATCTACGACACTAAACTCAACAAGACGTCTGGTTGACACCCCGAAGACAATGGACTGGCTGAAGAGATCAACCAGACTGTCATCCAACTACTTCGCGCATTGATTGTGCCAGATCAGAACACGTGGGACAAGGAGTTGCACAAAGTGAAGGGACTGTACAACAATTCCATTCACTCTGCAACTGGTGTGACACCAAACCAGTTGCAATACGGATGGCCGATGCGTAATCCCCTCTCCTATCTGTTCCCCGAACGGTCACCTGGTCTGATGCCCGGCATGCCTGGCTACAATGCCAAGTACGCACGCTTGCTTAAAGTTGTTATTGCAGCCATGAACAAGCGCCAGCATGCCATGATCAAACATGCTAACAAGTTGCGCAAAGAAGCAAAATTCAAAGTAGGGGATTATGTTTGGGTCAAAATGTCTGAGTTTTCTGATGAAGAGGGCGTATCACAAAAGCTTCTTCCATTGTACTATGGCCCTTGGCAGATTCTGAAGGTGATTGGGGATGATTTTGGTCCTTCATATGTGATTGACATGCCTCCTCATCTGCGCACGTATACGGTCTTTCATGCGTCCAAATTGTTCCCACACATTGATGATGAGACTTTTCCCTTCCGAGACCCTATGATACCTCGCTCTATCGATGACGGCCATGGGATAGACAGAATCGTTTCTCACGAGGGAAGAGGGAGGAACAAACAGTACAAGGTTCACTTCCTCTATCACCCGTTGACTGAATTCTTCTGGATCGACCGAAAAGAGCTGCTAAAGAATGCTCCCCATGTTGTGAACGCTTATGAACGACAGATCGCTGAGGGACAAACTGCTAAATTTGTTGCAAAAATGACTCCTCACGGACTTACTAAGTCTCTCTTTCTGATGTACTCCTACGATGCATTTTGTGCCAACTTTGGATGAGTCACTCGCTCGAAGGGACCTCGCTCTTGAGAGGGGGTAGTGTAATGACCCGCCAAAAACACAGACTGAGAACACTACTGATTTCTGGGATTTGTCGCTGTGTGTGTGCGTGCCTGCTGGTTTGCATGCCTGTCGGAGTGCTTGTCGGCTGAGTGTGTGTGTGAACCGCAAGGGTACTCGTTGGTTGAAGGGCCCCGCAGGCCCGGTACTTACCTGTGGCCGTGACTTTGAGGGTTGCAGGGGGAAAAACACTCAAGTAGTGGGGATGGGCTGCGATACTTAGAATAGCGGGGAAAAACACTCAAGTAGCAGGTAGGCCGGTACCACTCAAGTAGTGGTAGGGGTGTCGGGTACTGGAGGCCGAGCAGAAGAAGACAAAAAGTTGGTATTTTTAGAGGCCCAGTAGCGGTAGGATAACGGTCGGATAGCGGTAGGCCGGTGCCAGTCCAAGTAGCCCGGGTCTAGGGCCTGTACGGAGGATAGCAGAGCCTGCAATGATGTTTCCCTCCGAAAGGGAGGAGGTACGTGTTGCTGGGAGGCCGCTCGGCCTAGGAAGTCACCGCCCAGGAGGCCGGTAGGCCGCTATCTCTCCAGGAAGAGCAAAGAGCTCTTCCTCATTTGCGGTGTGCAAGGATTGGCGACATGCTGCTGGAGCACAGCGCTGGAGGGTACAGCGCTGCTTGGAGGTGAAGGGCCGCTGGAGCTCAGCCTGGCTATGGCGAGCAGTCCAGCTGGAGGAGGAGGAAGAAGGGGGTGAGGTAGGAGAGTGGCGAGGCACCTACCTGGCTATGGTGGACACCGTCTTCAACACCTTGTTGGGCGCTGCATCTGGAAGGCCCCAGTGGGGGTAGTGCTGCACCAAGGAAGCTCGAGGCAGAGTCAGGCATGGCGGACCAGCCAGCAGCGGCATAGCTGCTTTGGGTTGTCCTTTGGACAGGAGTGCAGCAACATAGCTGCTTTGGGTTGTCCTTTGGACATCAGCGCAGCACCATAGCTGTTCTGGGTTGTCCTTTGGACATCAGGGCAGCACCATAGCTGCCCCATTAGTCTGCCATGGCCTATGCATGAGAGAGGAGGCTGAAGGAGGGAAGCCATAGCTATGGTGGACTGGTTGTTGTTGTTGTTGTTGAGTTGAGTCAGCAGTAAGAGGGAACTTCGGATATTGATTCTGGTTCATCCATTCATTGTTATTATTATTATTGAGATGGAGAGAAGAATAAGATTGGCGAAGTGAAGGAGGAGGAGGAAGGTGGAGAGAGAAGGGGGAATTGTCATTGGTCTTGCTGGTGCACATCTTCTTCTTCTTCTTCTTCTTCTTCTTCTTCTTCTTCTTCTTCCTCTCTCCTTTGGTCTCTATCTCTTTGCAAGTGCTTTCATTTCTTTCGCAATTGGGTGGCGTTGTCTTTCATTGTGAATTTGCACTTTGGAAATGACCGGGATCGTAACACTTAGAAAAAACTCAGAAGGACAGACAACAAGAGAAAGACTAACAGACATACAACTGATTGTGTGTGTGTGTGTGAGTGTGTGAGTGTGTGAGTGTGTGTGTGTGTGTGTGTGAGAGAGAGAGAGAGAGAGAGAGAGAGAGAGAGAGAGAGAGAAGAGAGAGAAATTCCCCAGAGTGCCTCCAACGGCAACAGGAGCACACTGAAAAGATCGATGGTACCGGTAAGGGCATATCGGAAATTTTCCCAACGGCTATCTGGTAGGGGCATGATGCGGATTTGATGTGGGTCCGGTAGGGGCACTACGAAAGCATATAAGGCCCTAACGACACCAGGTTTTTATGGAAAATTTGACTTCTGGTCAGAAGGGCGCGACACTTTCCCTTATTTATTTATTTTCTGTCCTGTTTTTTTCTGTTCAGGCGTCGTTTCGGACTTGCAGTTCGTCCGAACAGACTTTTGGTCTGTTCAGTCAAAGGCCACGTTTTGGGCCTTGTACGGTCACAGGCAGGAGCATTCGGGCCAGGTCCGTTGTTGTCCAGTTGCGGGCACTCCTGCTGCATCAGCAGGGAGGGCCTGGCCATCTGGTAGGTACCCAGGCAGGCCACATTTTGGCCTAGGACTAGAGACACACGGAGGCACACCCGCGAGGCCCAGCGCTACTTATAGCTGGGGCTCGCCAGGGCAGACACGCAGTTTGAGTAGCTCACTTATTGGGCGACACGCTGCTGGAGCAGCGCAACAGCGCTACACTAGAGGTAGAGGTGTAGGTAGGGAAGGAGGTGGAGACCATATCTGTGTTGACGGAGCTCCTACCTGGGCGCCATAGCTGGCCCTCTCGCCAGCGACCTGCACACAGAGAGAGAGAGAGCGACCGGCGGCAGTTAGTACAGGGCGGCAGTTACCTGCAGGTTAGACAGCAAGGAGGACAACATCTTCTTCTTCTTCGTCTCACCCTCCATCTCTTCTTCCTCCTTCTTCTTCTTCTTCTTCTTCTTCTTCTTCTTTCAGAGAGAGAGAGAGAGAGAGATTACGGGCAGAGGTTACATTGCAGCGTGAGGCCCAGGATCTGATTCAACAGTTTGTGGCATACATTGATTGGACATTCGGCAGGAAGACTATTTGTGGACTTCGCTATCCCGATCTTGGTCTTCTACCTCATCTCCATCTTCGTCTCGCCTCTCCCCCTCATCTCCTCATTCGTGGTATCTCCCCATGTGCGTGGTCAAGGAGGGACGTTTCTTCTATGTATGCGGTCCCTCCTCTCTCTCTCTCATGTGTGGTCTATGATAGGGTGTCACGTCAGTATCTGACAAGTCAGGTCATATCTTTGAGTATTCCGCTGCTCTAGATTTTGTTGTTTTCGTATGTATCTGGATGTGCATTGCCTGTTGATGCTTTGCTGACACTGCATTGTCCATTCAAGTCCTTTTCATCACTTTGTGGATCCTTGGCTCCATATACATCGCTCAACTCAGCATGTATCACGACCTCTTTCCTCCAGTGCCACCCGACTTACTCCGCACTCTAGGCTGTACCGGTGTCGGGCAGCTGCCTACCAGCCGAGTACACTTTTTTCAAACAAGAGTTTTTTTTTGGATGTTTTTTTTGTTGTTTTCGCATATTCTTGATGAACGGATGCATGTGACTGTGGGGTTCGGTGGTGACCTCGAGTCTCCTGGTCTCCGTACTGACCTTGGGACAAGCAGGGGAAGTGACCTGAGCCAAGGTCGCAAGCAGGGCCCAATGCGGACGAAGTGTGAGTTGATTATGGTTGGAGCAATCCTTGGAGAGACCCGGGGCTATGATAGAGCTTGGCCACGAGATTACGGATACAAAGGGGAGAGGTTCGGAAGGGGGGGGGTGGACGATCACAACCTCGGACCCTTGGTGTGGGTGTCGCCAAGTTGTGGTCTGTCTCGACGCAAGGGAGATCGGCTTTGATACGGCCGCCCCGATGCTGTGATCAATCTGGTGCGGGCGCCACAATAAAGGTTAATGGTCGGATCGGCACGTTTCGGCTCATCCTGGCCACCACGATGTGAGAGACCTGGATGGTCCGCTTTTGAAACAATCCTCGCACTACTGGAAAGGGGGTCTCCAATCGGCTTTGTAAGGAGATGGATACAGGCACCATCACTTCAAAATGGTGATCAGCCAAGTGATCAGCCTCATGACGGCTCCACCGGAATGAATTCTGTGGACCACGGCTGGACAACACAAATCGGGTGACGGGTACAGTTGGCAGTGCGGGGCGAGCTCTCACATCTGGTGGGGCCACTCGCGCAAATTCACGGGCGCATCTGGGAGCAAACCATATAAGGGGGAAGGGTCGAGC